ACCGTGAACTATAGATTTTCCTGCAGTAATCGTTGAAGCTTCCAAGAAGAAGATGGGGCGCCACAACAACGACTCCACCTGGATATGACATCATGATGCTGACAGTGCTACTATGAGACCAAGTTTTGGACAACCAGCTACGGAAATGGCGCACCTTCTTACAACGTTCTGGCCAGAACTCCAAATAAAAACTTTAGAAAAACCCCTATCGACTACTCAGAGACCATTTGCAACTATACAAAACAGCAATCTTGAAACTTAACCATCATTTTACTTTTACAGGATCCCATAGAAAGAACATCACCCCTATGACAGCTGGAAGCAATTCATGACATTCCCATGCATGGGCTGTGTCTTGCAGTGTGGGCAGCTACAGTACAACCCCAGTAGAAAACTACGAAACTCACAGCCTAGTTTCACCAGGAGACGACAGGGAGCCCGCATCACATTGTAACTGATGTGTTCTTGTCCTAGAGCTACCGAAGCAAAACACAAAGGCTGGAAAGCTTGAACAACAACAGGAAGTCTACTAACAGTTCTAGAGACTTCTGCTTCTGCTCAAGATCAAGGAATCAATTCTCAGAGTTTGTAAGAGAGCCCTCAAGGCTCCAGAGCTGAAGCCTTAGTCCCCAGCATGCAGTACTCTTGGGTGGGAAGTGCTGGAAATGGGGGGGGGGCTGTTGGAGCCTGGCTGGAGGAAGTAGGCCATTGAGGGTGTGCCTTTGAAGGCTCTATTTCACCAGGCCTTTCTAGTTCTCTGCTCTCCAGCAGCTACACGTGAACAACTTGTCTCTACCAAACACCAAAACCATACTACTGGGTGAACAGATGTCATACACCACTGGGCTCAGAAACCATCAACTAAAACCTCTGAACTGTGAGCCCAAACAACTCTTTCTCCCCTTTAAGCTGATTTCTCTGTGGGATTTGGTCACAGCAGCAGAAGGATGCCTGCCACAGTTTTTTCCTTGAAATGGGCCTTTACTTCATGTTGTTTCTTAGCTTCTCGAGGCCTGTGGACTTTTTTTTTGCTTCTGGGGGGCATTCTCTGTGGGCTTTCACGTTGTCATAGACATCTGCCTCTCTGTCCAGTTTTTCCCTTCTTTGAGGATGACAGCCATATTGACTCAGGACCCATCCAACTAACCTCATCTGCAAAGATATTTCCAAATAAGGCCACACTGACAGGTATTTAGGAATTCTTGTTTTGTTTGTTTGCTTGCTTTTCCTATTTTCAGAAAGAGAAATAATTCAACTCAGAATACAGGGGTAAAGAACGTGGATTTTACTTTAGCAGTGCTGGAGATGGAACCCAAGGACTTCCACCTGCTGGGCAAACATTTGTTCTACCACTGAGCCACTTCCACAGCCTTTGAACAAGACTGGGAATGTGATCCCTTGGCAGAGTGTAAACAGGTGAATGATAGCCAGGATGTCTGCTGTTGAAAGGTCGCTCTGGTCTCCATGTACCAAGGAAAGAAGCGAGAACAACAGTTCAGGGCTCAGAAGGGAGAAAAGTTCACTGCACAATCCTGAAGACCTGAGTTGAATCCCTGGAGCCCACGGCAGACTCCTCAAAGTTGTCCTCTTACCTCCGCATGTGAGGTAACATATGGGTGTCTATATTCAACACACACACACACACACACTAATAATAATAATGCAGATGAGTAGAAGGATTAGAATAAGTAAAAACATGTTTTTAAGAAGAATGCCAAGTCATACAAAAGTCTAGGCAGACGGTGCTGTTGGCCCGGAAGGTGATGAGCACCCGTGACTGTGGTCTGGTATGTCAGTATGGAGAAGGATGGAGCTTCTCAGAGAACTGATCCGGGACATACACTGGCCTACAGTGCGGAGAACTTACCAGTGAAAGAGATCGGCCTGTGCCCGGAGGCACTCTGGGACTTGAAGACCATCAGTTTTCAAACAGAAACCAGGAAATGACTGAGTGGTTCTGTGGGTACAGAGTCAGACTCTCCAGCATCTGTGTGGATACATGCTCTAAGTTTCCACTCTGTAAGTGAAGCTATCTGCAGCAACTCGGGCCAAGAGGACGATGGCACCTCCCTATCCTCCTCCCTCCAGCCGCGGATGTCCACACTAGTGTCCACCCTCGGGTTTCTGTACGAGAGCCCTGCCGAGGCACTGCCCTTCTGTTGAATTAATTTTTCCATCTCAGTGAACAAAAACAAGTTAGCAGGCCAACAGAGTGGGCTACCTTCCAGGGTTTGTCTGCCGACAGATTAAAAAGTATGTCAACATGGCGTTATACTAACAAATACCCAAGGCAGAAGCTTTTGCTTTGGTTTGCTTTGCCGTTTATTGATAATGTGGGTGAACTGGTGCCTGCATTTGTGCAAAGGTTGAGTGGCCAGGTGATGTTAGCACTGCTGGGACCTTGGGAGATGAAAGGGGCAGGGACCTACTGCAACAGCTGTCAGTCAGTTGCTCCCTCCTGTTGAAAAAAAAAAAAAAATCAGCCAGAGAAGGAACGACAGTGAGGGTGTGAGAAGTTTTTTTCTTATATGACGGTGGTAAGATGGACTTTTTAAAGTCTGGCTTCTAGTTATAATGCCCTGCAAAAGAGAAGCTTTTAGCAACTTTTCAGGAAAAGCTGGGCTTTTGTTTGTGTGTTTGTTTGAAAGTATCTTATAAATGAAATTTTTATTTGCTTGTAAAGAAGAACTATATATTTCCATTGGCAGGAAAATGGATAGAACTGGTGATTGCGGTGTTAAGTAAAATAAGCCAGACTCAGAGGGACAGTAATCATGTTTTCTCTCTCTCACACACATGCTTTAGAAGTAAATATACATGCATAAATCATAGGAAGGGACTATGTAGAGGCAAGGAAGAAATCTAAATGGAGAGGGGAGAGTAGAACAAAAGACAGCAACTAGGAAAGAAGGAAGGAAAGAAGGAAGGAAAGAAGGAAGGAAGGAAGGAAGGAAGGAAGGAAGGAAGGAAGGAAGGAAGGAAGGAAGGAAGGAAGGAAATACTGCCTGTTTTCTCTCCTAACTAGTATTTTAGGGTGTGTGTGTGAGAGAGACAGAGACAGACAGAGAGACAGACAGACAGAGACAGACAGACAGAGAGACAGAGACAGAGAGAGGAAGAAAACATAAGGACAACTATTTGAGAGAAAGAAAGGGGGCTAAAGATGGGGAGGAGGGACAGAGGAAGGAGGAGAAGATAAGAGCAATGTACAATTATGTATATGTGAAAATCTCATAATAAAACCCTTTATTTTGTGCACTAAGAAGTTACTAAAAGCGAAGAAACACATATTCATTTCTCTTCTTTCTGAGATTATAACCCCTTTCCTTTTCTTCCCTCCTAACCCTCCCATATACCCGCCCCTCTTTGCCTTCTTTCAAATTCATGACCTGTTCTCATTCACTGTTGTTACACGCATTTATGGATATACATATATACTCCTAAATATAACCTGCTCAGTCTGTGTAATATTACATGCATGCATATTTTCAGGGCAGACCATTTGGTATTGGATATATATTTGGTGGGACCCTTCCTGGGCAAGTATATTTTCCCCATTCTCGGTGTTCCTCAGTTGCCTGTAGCTCTTTCTGTAGGGTGCAAGCCTCAAGGTCTTTCCCTGAGCTGCTATGGCATGTCTATTGCTGGTGTCCTTGTTCTGCTCACGTTTTCACAGTCATGGCGGTGAGACTTTACATATCTAGCTTCTGATATTACTAGGGGACACAGTTTCAGAGCAAACTCCCTGATCCTCTGGCTCTTCTCACCTTTCTGCCTTCTCTTCCAGTATTCCCTGAGCATTGGGAGATCCACAACTCTTGATTGGTTGCAGTTTTCTGTTATGGTCTTTATTGCAAAGAAATATTTTCTTGATTAGGGGCAAGGACTTGTAGTCTTCGTCTGGGGGTATAAGGACTTACAGTCTTCATCTGTGAGTAGAAGGACAAATATTGAGAGTGTAGTCTGAGATTATGTGGGTTTAGTAAAACGGTGGCTGTAAGTTCTCTTCCGGGGTCTAAGATTTCTCTAGCAGCGCCAGGCATTGTGTCCCTCTTGTTGAGCAGGTCTGATTAGAGAACTGTTGGTTACCACCGTGGTATACATGTCCCTATTGCACTCTTAGGGTGACAGTACCATGCTGGTCATCTGGTGGTTCATAAGTATCATGGCTAGGAAAGACTGTTGATTGCTTTCCCGCTTTGGAAGCTTGCATGGTGCCCTCTGGTACCAGGAAAGTCGGTCCTCAGGGACGAGGCACTCAGGTCAGTGCTAGCTCAAGAGCCTCTGGGTCCTGGGTCTGAGACACATTGGGTCTTTAACAATGGGGACTTGAGTTCCACTTCTGGGGGACAATCAAGGGCAACAGAAATAACCTGTAATGTTTGGGGAGTCTCTTGGACAACCCTGACCAACTCAAAAGCGAGTTTTTCTTTACATCTGGTGTAGGAGGGTTTGTTAGCTGGCCTTTGATTCTTTGAAGGCAGTATTGTCAGCCCAGAGGAGAATTTTTCATTTAAACTATGTATGAATATTTATACTCAGACATATGAGTATTACAGGTTTCGTTTGTTTTTTTTTTTTTTTTTTTTTTTGTAGATAGTTAATAGTGGGACAGCTTCTGACTTTTTCAGACATCCTTACTATTTTTTTTTACCTTTCTTTCTCCTTCCTTCTGTATTCCTCTCCCTCCCTACTCTGGTTAGAGCCCCCTTTTCCCCCTTTCCCCAATCAGATCACTTACAACCTTTTAGTCCTCTATTTATTTATCTTTAACGCTGACTCTAGACATTCCCTTACTCTCAGCCTGGGGTGTTTGTGGAGGGCTAGTGATTGAGAGCTGCTTTGGACTCAAGGTCACAGCACAGGCCAGGGTCACACTGGAGCTGTGTTTTCAGGGACAGCGCTCAGATTATTTCCAACCTACCACCTGTTTTTTTTTTTTTCTCCAGTCCGTGAGCTAAGAACAGCTTTCACATTTTTAAGTGGTTAGAAAAAAAAAATCCAAAGACTCATATTTCGTAACATACGAATCACACTGTGTCACACATGGAAATTAAAATGACATGAAATGCAAGTTTGGGTGCCTATAAATAAAGTTGCCTTGGAACATGGCCAGGCACGTTCATTTGCATATTATCTGTGGCTGCTCTCAGGAAACAACAGCAAAGTCCTCTCGTCAGCGACTCTGTGGCCACCGAAGTCTGAACCATTGACTGGCCAGCCTGTCAGGAAATGTTTGGCCGCTCTTGCTGCGGAGCTTTAGGAAAAGGTGTGTTCGGCCCGCTCCCCGCCTCCCATTTCCCTCCCCGCCTCCCCTTTTCCCCCCCCCCCCCCCCCCCCCCCCCCCCCCCCCCCCCCCCCCCCGTCCGGCCCCCCCCCCCCCCCCCCCCCCCGGCCTCCCTGAATTTTCTGAGGTTTTCCTGGCTCTTTGCAGATGACTCTCATTTGCTTGAAAAGCTGTTTTGAGCTTTTTTCATGCCCGGCAACATGTCAGGTCCGAGGGCTACAGCTGTGGAAAGTCATAGACAGATCCTGTCACCGGAGCTCAGGGGCCAGCAGACGAGCAGGTGGGACTCAGGGGGCCGCGCGGATGGGGTGTGTGAGGGATGTAACTGTGGTAAGGGCTCCAAAGACGGGCTTCGTGGAGCTGCAGAGGGCAAAAGAGGTAACGGACTTCCTCTTCCGCAGCATCACAGAAGATAACCAAAGTATAGATTAACAATTGTCTGGGATTCACAGGAGATGTTGAGGAAAAGGGAGAAGAAAGAATTCCAGTTTCTTCACCACAAACTCTCCTTATTGTCTTCTGCCCGTTAGTGTGCCCGGAGGGAGTGAGGCGTGGGGGAGAGTAAGTACAGCCTGTGAGGATGAGAGAGCAGGAGGGCCAGGCCTTTCTAAGACTTCGCTGAGCACAGAGGCGAGGAGTTGTCCAAGTGTCCAGCTCATGAAACTCTAAAAGACCACAGGGGAAGAGATGGATAACTCGTAGCGTGCTCAGGCAATGAATAGCAGTAGGCACGAATGTGAATCTGCTCACAGCTGTATGCAGTAACGGAATCTTTGTCATAGATTATTAAGTGAAAAAAAAAAAAGTCCAGAAGATAACACAGGGCATGACGAACTTATTTTTTTTTTTTTAGCACGTGTTTATTTTGGCTGAGTTAGCGACGGGGAGTATATCCTGTCAGAGGACAGCCTGCAAGAGTCAGCCCTCTCCTCCCACCGCGTGGTTCTGAGAAGAAGCACCTTTACCTCACGAGCTGTCTTGAGGACCCGTGATGGCCTCTTCGCAGAGGTAAATGTAACCAAAGAGTGACAAGACACTTTAGGATCATATTCATGTACATGCATGTTTAGAAATAGATAGTAGCAAATGGTTTGATGAAAAATAAAGCTTCAAAAAAGCAAAGGAATAAGGTTTAGCAGAGTGAGTGTCTCACACAAGGGCAGGAGCAGCATCCACGGAACACTGTCGTTAATGCCCTGCTTCTTGTGAGCAGTGAACTCATAGGTAGATATCACATTTTAAAAAGTTTCAAATAATAGCTGGGCAGTGCATGCCTATAATCTCAGCACTTGGGAGACAGAAGCAGGTGGATCTCTGTGTTTGAGGTTAACGTAGACTACAGAGCAAGTCCCAGGACAGCCAGGGCTACACAGAGAAACCCTGTCTCAAACAAAAACAAATAGAAAGAAAGAAAGAAAGAAAGAAAGAAAGAAAGAAAGAAAGAAAGAAAGAAAGAAAGAAAGAAAGAAAGAAAATAATCATGAGAAGTTATTAAAGCAATATAGAATGAAGAATGACGTGATGAAATTTTTCTTTATTTAAACTTTATTACAAAATTATAAAGCACAGCTCTGTAACTAAAAAAAATACATTTGGGTTTGCTTTTTAATACCCAGGTGAGAGAATCTTAATATGAGCCATCATATGAGTTGGATCAAGATTCACATCCCAGAGATTTCAACAAATTTGTACAGTATATATCGACTATTAATTCCTGTATAGCTTAATAGTTTAGAACTGGATATTCCAACATACGAACCAGCCAGCTGTCCACGTCTTTTAAAACAAGTATCAACAGAAAGACATGATATAGTTTGTAATACAAAATCCTCCCTCTGGCTGCCCTTGGAACAGGGCAAGTGTGGAAACCTGTCAAGAGGGCTAGGAGTGAGGCTGAATAGCAAAGAATTTGCTTAATGTGCTAACATGCAAAGGGTTCGTCCAGTCCTAGGTGCTGCAAGAGGTTGCTCTAAATGTGCAGGCAGAGTTGATGGGCGTAAATGTGGTAGGACAGTAAGTAAAGGACAGGCAGAGTGACAGCGATGACGACAATTGTCCTCCTGTTTACACTGATTTACTGTGCACCTTTACTTTGAAGGAATCAATTCGTATTAAAGAAATGCTAATATTGCTTGGCCTTGCATCACAGACCAGGATCTTTGCCACTGAGGCAGGAGAATTACAACTTCAATTGCAAGTTGTCTGGGCACCTCGGTGAGACTCTCTCTCAAAATAACAAAAACTTGAGGACACAAACTTAGCGGTAGAGCCTTTGTCTAGAACACAGGAGTCGCTGGGGTCAATCCCTATTATGAGAAAAAGGAAGAGGGGGGAGGAGGAGGAAGTGGGCAGCAGCAACAACAAACAACAATTCCATGAACACATGGTAGGATTGAAAATGAATCAGGATAGGGCCTTTGACCAAGAGATTTCAGAAGCCTTGGAGGACTTACCAGGTGAATTAATGGACTTCATCTGAATGGTGATATGAATTGTGATTGGACACCCTTAGAGGCATTTTCGGCTAAGACAAGCTCAAAATATTTCTCCTGTAAAAATAGCCAGGGATGGTGGCTAAGGAGGGTGAAGTTGGCTAATGGGGCTTTCTGAAGTTTTCACACACAGGCGTTTTTATCTTTTCTGAGACTGAACTAACATCTTTGTTTTACTTCTGTTCTTATTCCTGGTCACTTATTACACATGACAGCAGATAATTCAAAGCAACAACAAAAGAAAGGTAGTGGAGTTGGCCAGCCATCTTTTCCTCCACCTTACCAGTCTCCTAAACCAACAGGCCTTTCCCCTGTAGGAGGAACGGGGCATGGCATTACTTGCAGACCAGGCCTCCTTGTTACAAGCCTTCCTAGTGAGTGTTCCAGCTCTGGGGATCGAAGATAAGACTCTGGCCCTCAAATAATGTGAATAACAAGAGTGGTCGCCTGTTAGATTGCCAGAATGACAAAGGCTTCGAAAGCCCTAAAAGGCACAGATTTTTAATTCTGAGAAATCCAGAGGGTGGCTTGTTCAGGCAGTTCGTTCACACATGCATGCTCCAGCTGAGCTGGGGGCAAGACAGGGTGTGATTCCCACTCCAAAGCTTCCAGAGTACACACTGTATGGTTGTGCGCCCAGCGGAAATGGAAATTATGTACTCTGGTAACCCTGAACCACATCACGGCTAACTCATTTACATTGGAAGTTGGGCAGGTTTGCCCCAAGTAACAGATAAACATATCTGCATGGATTGTCAACCCTCATTGCCATGGAATTAGTGAGGACCTGGGCATCATCTAACCAACATTGTTCATAGGACAGAAAGGGAAATTGAGGCTTGGAGACCCCCAAGTGACTGGAGTCTGGCATACTTGGCGGAGCTAGGGCAAACAGACCCCTTTCCTAGCCCCCTCTGCCTCTGAGCTTCAGTGGAAATCATCCTGTTATCTTACTACAGGCAGACAGCAATGAGGGAGAGAAGATGGAGGAAGAAAGAAATTGAAACAGAGAAGGAAGGATGGAAGAGATAGGCAGCGACAGGAATTGCAGGCGAGATTGTCTGTCTCTGCCTGTCTATCTTTCTATCTGCCTCATCTCATTCCTTTCTGAATTCCCTCTCTTACCCTGCTCCCCCAGGCCGGCTCCTGAAAACACAGTGTCATTCCCTTAATTCCAAACACCTTTGGAAGAGGATCTGCAAATGAGCAGAAGGCTGGTGAGGCTGCTATCTGAAGTGGTGGGAAGAATTTTCTGGTACCTTTGGCCATCCCCCACCGCTGCTTAAGGAGGAAGGAAGGCGCAGGTCATTTAGACTCATGAACTTCCACAGAAGCAGAATCGTGGGCCTGGCCACCTCAAACCTAAAGGACCTACAATTTAGCAGACCGCTTAACCTGGGCTTGGGTGCGGACTGCGCAGCAGTAGCCGGCGTTTGAAACAGTCCTTCATGCCTTGTGAGCACACACATTGTCTTTCTAGCCCTCAAGAGGGAAACAGGTCAGAGAGCTTAAAGATTAAGATTTACACAAGTCTTTTAAATGCTAAAAATCCGTCCATCGTGGGATGTGCCTCGGAGTGGATACATTCATTTTAAATAGATCCTTCCCTGAGAGTTACATTTGGTCTGTCCTCGCTGGGCCAGATGTCAACTGTGACAAATTCATATGAATCCCTCTAGCAGGGCTGGCTCTACAAATCCTAAAGGAATGTGGGCATCCTTTATTCCCTGGCTCCTCCTGAATCCGAGATATCAAGAGCGGGGGAAAATTTAAATAGTTTTAACTCGCCAGGTCCCGAGGCAAAGCAAATCGACCTATGCCTTGTTGAGGCGGCATAGGAGTCAGCTGGTACGGAGCAGAAAGGCACCGGTGACTTCCTCGTGCTTTGCCGAGGCGATCCTGCGGCCACGGCTCCTAATGAGCCCGTCTGGTGGCAAAAATCACAACGCAAAACAAATTAGCCAGGGAATTTTTCAGGTGTCAGTTTCAATGAGGGAGGAACAGACAAGGAATAATAAAAAAAAAATCATCGCATGTAGAAGATTTCGAACTTTGAAGCTGCTCGGGGACTGTTGACTTATAGCCTGGTTCTTCTCAAGTGCGCTGTCATCCCAAGTGGCACATTGACACGGTGAGGGTTTCTTGTGAAATAATCCCTTTGCCAACATCAGGGAATCACCCTCCCCTTTGATCGAGTCAGATATGATCTTGAAAGTTGGCCTACTTACACAGCTCCAGTGAGGCTGCTCAGAATAAGACCTCTGGAAGGGAAGAGGGGAGAACGGCACACACACGGAGGATGGGTAAGCCTTTGAGGGGAACGTATGCTCACACAAAGAGAGGAAATTCTAGAGTGGGTATCCCACGAATAGATACTACCGACATGTGATGTGTGTGTACATATATATATACACACACATATATACATATATATAAATATATATTATATATATATAGTATTTTCTAGACTTGACAGGTTTTATTTAACCTGCAGAGATGGCCAACCACCTTTCACATGGAGAACTGTGTGTAACTAAGTCTTCATGGCACAAGGGCTAGAACAAAGACCCAAACTTCTTTCTTGAAGAATTTTAATTCTGTAGCTTTGTGTGTATATGTGGGGGTGTGTGTGTATCTGTCTGTGTGTATGTGTATATGTGTGCGCATATGTAGATGCACACATCTGTGGAGGCCAGAGGTTGACATCAGGGAGCTTCTTCAATTCTTTTCTGTCTATTTTCCCAGACAGGGTCTCTCACCGACCTTGACACTTACTGATTCAGGAAGATTGACTGGCCATTGAACACCAGGGGTCCTTCTGTTTCCACCTCCCCAGCTCCAGGATTACAGGGTCCTGCTGCCATTCCTGGCTCTTCCAGGCACTTTACCCCCTGAGCCATTTCCTCATCTCCATCTTTTTTCTTTGCTATACATCTACTACCACCTCCATCACTATAGAAGTGCTAGGTGCCCACCGCAGCAACAGCATCCTGTATCCTCACCCACTGCGCACCTCGGCAAAAGGATCCCAGCCACAAGACTAGAAGCATTTTCATTCTCATCTCCGGTTGCCCCTTGTCCTGTAGGGAGAGGCTGTGAAGCTTAGCATCTGCATCAAACGCACTGGGAGAGCCCAGGAAAACTCCCAAACTGTCAATACCACCATTGCAATACCACCGTTAAACTACTATACATGGCTGTGCATGCATATGCTTCCTGGGCATTCAAAAGACTTTTTTTTTCTCTATTTCTATTAGACTTCGAATCCAACATTGTGACCCTCTGGGCGTCTGAGGACGGTCTGATCTGCTTTACGTTGAGCCCGCTCGGTGTCCAGCTCTACCCAAGTAAAAACAAGCAAACGTGAGCGCTTGTCTCTCCATCAAGTGTAGGCTGATGGGAACCGGGGCCCAGTCGTTAAAGACCTGAATGTTTTGCCTCATCAGAAGAAGTCCGGTGAGCACGGAGAATTAAAACAGTTTATGAACATGGAACGAGACCTTTGGGAAGGGAAAGGATGGTGAGAGGGAACATTTGGCTCACTGCTGTTCTTTCGAATGTGTTTTCCAAACCGAAGACTACAATGCAGTCTATGTGCTCCTCCACAGGCTTGCTTAGGCCAATCAGCTGCACGGGGCTTTCTTGGGACCCCCCTCGTTCTTGGGAGTTGGGAAGGGGCGGACTGCACTCTATAGGATCCTCTTGATATGAGAAAGGATTTCTTTTTAAAAGGACATCTTTTATTTCCCCATCTGCTTCCTCTCACAGAACAGTTTGGGGTCAGCTCAGGTCTTCTGGCATTCAGAGGCCCTCTCCTTCGGTGACTGTGGGCATCCTGACTGGAAAAGGCTTCCTTTTGCCTCTTAGCTCACCGCAGAGAAACACGGGGTGAGGAGAGCACTCCCGGCGGCCTGTGTGAGAAGCTGCCACAAATAAACGGGGCGAATGAGCTTCGAAGGGCCAAAAAAGAAAGGAAGGAAGGAAGGAAGGAAGGAAGGAAGGAAGGAAGGAAGGAAGGAAGGAAGGAAGGAAGGAAGAAACACCCCCAAAGGAGAGGGCGCTAATTGAATTTGGTTTCAAAAATTGCCAATTCCTGGATCTACTTAAGGCAAATGAAGCATTAACACCACAGAGCCCATTGTGCCTGCTGAACGGGACCTCCTGATGTGGAGGGGATGCTAGGCAGGCCTTTATCCCTGCTGCTTTGTCTTTCAGCATGGTGAGAATTGGCCTCTCCCTCTTGGGATGTACTGTGGAATGACAGTGAACGCCCAGACACAAGTAACCGCAAATTTCTTATATGAATCCCAGTAAAATGAAGGAGGAAAACAGCATGCTTTGCATGCCGCTACTGAAAGGATGACATGTCTCCCTCATCTCTGTCCCTTCCTCAGGGAATGAGCACCCCAGAGAGGAGGAGTAATCGAGCCGACAGTGTGCCGGTTGGCAGGGAATACAAGCCTTGGGGTCTACAGCATCAGCCTGCTGGCCTCCCTGTCCGTGCCTTAAGTGGTAAGGGATCCCCTCCTCCTCCTCTACTCCTGAGAAGCAGCACCTGTCACTGAGGCAGTTAACTTTTGTTCCCAAAGACTGTGCTGAAGAAAAACAGATTGAAAGTCACTTACAGTAAAAGGGTCCTGGTCAGGATGTGTGTGGTGTGTGTGTGTGTGTGTGTGTGTGTGTGTGTGTGTGTGTGTGTGGACATCCAGTAAGCATGCTTAGACTTATTATAATAAAACTTTGGAAGGGACAATAAAGGACTGTTCCCCACCCCAAAGTCCTAGCCAAAGACTAAGTCTGTGTAATTCTCTGTATCATAAGAAAAAGAAGGGAAAAATACAGTTGTTGGGTCTTTCAGTTTTGTTTTTGTTTTAATGAGGGACCAGACAGTGGTGTCGCATGCCTGTAATCTCAGCTCTTGGGAGACAGAGGCAGACTGATCTCTGTGAACTCGAGACCAGCCTGGTCTACAGAGCGAGTTCCAGGACAGCCAGGACTACACAGAGAAACACTGTCTTGAAAAACAAAATAAAACAAAAAATGGTGTGGAGGACTAGGGTTTGCTCAAATGGACAGGTGCATCACCTTCTAGCTGGTGAAATAGGTTCACTTTCTTTCAATTAAAATGATAAGGGGTTGGAGAGATGGCTCGGGGCTGTAGAGTGCTTGTTGTTCTTGCAGGGGACCCGAGTCTGGTTCCCAGCACCTGTAACTCCAGTTCTAGGATATCTGACCCCCTCTTCCAGTATCTGTGGGCACAACACTCACACAGCACACACTTGCCCAGATAAACACATACTAGATTGCTGAATTTAGAACAACCTGACTCTGTGTTCTCCAGCTATGGTTACCTCTATTTGGCTTCAAAATAAACTGCCCCTTTCTTAACTTCCTTTGAGGTTAGGGATGTGTTTTTGTATCGACAATGCCATCTCTGATGTAGAGTCAGCCCTTACCAGATAATGAGGCAGCTGCCACCTTGGTTACAGATTTACTGGCTTCTAGAATTCTAAGCAATTAATTCCTGTTGTTTATAAATCATCTGATCCTAGACATTCTGGTTTTTTGTTGTTGCTGTTGTTTTGGTTTGGTTTTCGGTTTTCCAACACCAGGTTTCTTTATATAACAGCCCTGGCTGTCCTGGAACTTGCTTCGTAGACCAGGCTGGCCTTGAACTCAGAGAAATCCAACTCTCTCTGCCTCCCAAATGCTGGGTGTGCACAATTACAGCAGCTGAATAGATGAAGACAATACTCTCCGATGAGAGATGGCAGAAGTTGGCTCCCTGTCTCCAGACATGCACAGTCAGAAAAGGCCACATCTGTGGTGAGAAGGTGGCCATCTGCCAAACATAAAAGGGTCCTCCCCAAAACCCGACCATGCTGATACTGACTGCTTAGCTCCAGAACTCTAAAACATGCATGCCTGCTATTTAAACCACTCTGCCCAAGCTGACTAAGAAGGGTGAGCCCTATCTAATTCTGTCCCCACCGCACAGCTGGCAAGCCCCGGTCACCTTCCTTCCTCAGGGCTAAAAATAACCCCTCCATACCCAGGCCTAACAGTTCTTCACTTCCTTCCTTCCTTTGTGCTGCAGATGATGGGATTCAGCTAATTTCCGGAGCTGGAGGGAAGACTCAGAAATAACACGTGCGTGCATACGTGCAGGCTGTGTACACGCGACAGGGAGAAGACCGACCTTGGTAACACCGCCTCAAGACAGGTTTTCAATGTCATCTTTCCAAGAAGACAGTGTCATTCACATTTCCACCTGGACTCAGCATCCTCCAACAAGGTCTTTCCGACAAGTGTGTCACTATCTGGTTCTTATAAACATCCCCTTGAAGGGGGGGGGGGCATCCTAATGTCCATCGGCAAAAGCAAGAAGGCACTAGCGAAGCCTGTCTCATTGGTGGTACGTTTTAGAAACCTCCCAGTAATGAGCCTTTTTGTTACTCAAGTAAAATGTTTTTGGAACATGGAGACACAAAATAAAATACACACTCTCTGGGTATGTTCACACACAAAATTGCTGGGCTTGAGAGAGCAGTAATATTTTGCTAAAAGTCACTGTGGTGAGGGTCAACAGGGCAGATAACAGAGAGACAGGTCCCCGCTGAGGTGGAATTTCCACACAGCCTCACCCCTGTTTGTCTCTAAATATACCCTGTCGTTACTTAGCCTGGAAATTTTAGATGTAAGCGCACTGGGGGATCAGCTTTGCTTCCCCAAAGTCAGAAGCATCATGAAGAATGGTGCCACCGTTCAATACCATGAAAGAATCATGAAGAGTGTCGTTGTAATTAAGCCAATAGTTGTAATGTCCCTCGGACGCTGCAGTACAACTTAAAAGCATGGAAGTGGAAGACTGAGGTGGAAAAAGAAGTACAGGGAATTATAGACAAGAGTTAAATACTGATGTGATGAATGGAGATTGGTACTGTCCAGCTCAGATGTCCTCCAGGAAGAAAGAATGGTACTTCCTGAAGGCATAGGGAGACTGGGTAAACAAAACAAAACAACAAAACAAACAAACAAAAAAAAAACCCTAAGTAGAGAGGCCATCACAGGTTTCTGAGCACCTGTGAGCTACATCAGGAGGGGGAAAGGACAAATCCACACTCTCAGGCAGGTACCTGAGAATTACAAATCCCTGTCCTGCTGTCCCCATAACCCTTGAATGTCCAGGCACCACATCGAAACAGTAGCATTTCTGGGATTGGGAAGGTAGCTAAATTTGTAGAGTGTTTGACTAATCTGGAGGAGTCCCAGGATTCACTTCACAAAACTAGGTTTGGTGGTACAAGCCTACAATCCCAGCCTTGTAAAATGGAGGTAGGGGACTCAGAAGTTCAAGCTCGTGCTCAGCTCTCTAGTGAACTCAAGGCCAACCTGGACTACATCAGACCCTGTCTCAGACAAATCAGCAACAAGACAAACAAAGAGGGGATTTGTTTCTCCAGTCTGAAGTACCAGATCTGGCCAACATGCCAGGTGACAAGAGGTAGAGGCAGGACAGAGAACTCAAAGACGTGAGCAGAACTGTACCTGCTCTTCCAAGCACTTTGTCTGTCATAGGGTGATCAGTGGGGCTCTGTCATCATTCCTTTTAAGTGTCAGTCTATCTTTGAGATATTTAATTTGTTCAATTGTTTTATGCAACTTATGTTACTATGGCTTTGTTGTATATTTTAATAACCAAAAGGGCCCTTTATTTTACTTGTGTTTCCTTTGTAATATTGACTTGGCTATTGTGCAAAAGGCTTTTGCTGAGTCTTCGTTTTTTCAAAATTTTATTGAGTACCTACAAGGAAACATAGTGGGAAGAATCATAATCCCTAGAACATTAAACTGTTCATGAATAAGCATATTTATTGCTATCACTTTATATATTATTTATTAGAGACTAAGTTCGATTCCATGGTGACCTGATATAGTCCTAGTTTAGTCAATTTCCAGGTTACACTGTTTTTGCTGCCTTTGTAACGACATCTTTTTTACTATGACTTTATTTCCTGGATGAAGTCAATGTTAAACAGAAGCATTATACTTGTTTCTTAATTAATTTTCTATTGCTGAGATAAGACACCACGACCAAGGCAACTTACGAAAGAAAGCATTTATTTGGGTCTTAACAGCTTTAGAGGATTAGGGTCCATGACCATCAAAACAACAAGCGTGGCAGCAGGCAGCCAGACACGACACTGGAGCAGCAGCTGAGAGCTTACATCTTGGTTCACAAGCATGAGGTGGAGGGAGCTAAATGGGAATGGCAGGGACTTTTGGAACCTCAAAACTCAGCCTGCTCCCAGTGACACATCTCCTCCAGCAAAGACACCCCTTCTAATCCTTCCCAAACAGTTTCACCAACTGGTACCTAAGGAGTCAAAACAGATGAACTTAGGAGGGCCATTCTCATATACCCTCTAACTTCGTTATTCCTCCCTGCCAACGAGGGAAGGAGGTTTTCCTGAGCTGAGATGTTTCAGGGAAAAATGCCCAGGAGAGAAACTTTCTCCTGTATTTCCTACTCTGATTTCCCTATCCCTTTCCCCCCTTAGATTCTTTTTCAAGTCAACGCAAAGCATCTACTCACCACCTTTGCAGATTCCACCCCCTCTTAGCCAACTAGAAGAGGAATTCAACTTCAGGTCCCTGCTTGCTTCTCACGAGTGCCCAAGCGTGGCTGCTCTGAAGCTGAGAAGTTCTAGGACATGAGTAAAGGGGTGAGATCTAGTCTTGTGGGTGAGAAGAAAACTAGGTGCCAGTTCTGTAATATTTTCACTTCTACCAGGAGCACTCTGGCGATCTCCCAAATGCTTCCCTTAATAATTGCAGAAAGACTCTTTCCCAGCCAAGTGTTAATCTGCCTTGGAGCCATCACAATGGAATCTCCCAGGAAGAGAAGACATCTCCGCAGTCTCCTTGACTTTGATCTTTCAAGATAATGAGGTCTGGCATGATGGCAGGATGGAACCTTTCACTCCCACTTAGTTGAGATTCTATATGCCACAGCACAGATCACAGTAGCTCGAAATGGCTCTCTCTCTCTCTCTGCCAATCCCCATGGGCAGACAGTTCTAACTCTGTGGCTGTTTTGTTCTGATTTGTTTGGATGCCAGGGGGTCTTCTAAGAGGAAGGGTCATATGATGAAGCAGTGAGAACTGACCCTTCCAGAAACCTCCTTGAACCCAAAGAACACTACTGAAGCTATGGGATCCAAACCTTCCTTTCTCCTTGACATTCCAAGACCAACATAGAAAAGAGCCCCATCCCATAGACTAGCATATACAGGTTGAGAGAGGCCAGGGACAAGACAATAAAACACTCAAGACCCAAGTTATCAACATGCTACTCAGGTGCAAGCAGACTGGACTGCCTGTAGTCTTACCAAGTTTTTGGATATTTGCCCACAAATCAGGACCTCTAACACTGGAAAATGCATCACGTATAGAAGACACTATTTACTCATGGCTGTTTCAAGCCCCTCTACCTTCAATCACATTTTTCTCCCTGACTTTTTTTTTCCTTCCACCAATGCCTCCCATACAACCTTCAATAGCAACAAACACTCCCAGGTATGAAAAGACAAAAGATCAAATTGTAAGGTTTGCCGGGAAATTCAGCTGGATCTTACAAACCAACTTCTTTGGGGCCCTTTACTTCTCCCTGTTTTCGCGGCAGAATGTATCACACCCTCCCTGCTAAGTCACTGTGTGCCACTCCAGGGCAAACACATACATCATACTCAATTAGGCAAAAAACAGAAGAGTCTCCAAGAAATCTGCATCTGTCCTCATCCCCTTCCCCCTCACACTGAGCTGCAGCTAAAGCAGATTGATATGTAAGAGCTGTTTGAAACTTTCTTAGCCCTGGCTTTGCCTTCTCATAAACCTATTCCCCTTTCCCTCCCTTTTATCACCTCTATCAGACTGTGCAGTCCACACAGAGGACCAATACCAGGTCACTTTGCCCTCAGCTCTCCCAACCCAACTATGGGGACAGTAGTTCTCAATATATACTGGAGAGTGTATTTGGTTTGGTTGGTTGTCATAGGGCTGAGGGTGAAGCCTGGACCTCATTGCATGCTGCCCAAACATTCTACCATTAAGCTATGTCCGTACCATGTTAATGTGAACTGGTTGAGTTCATGTCCATGACTTCCATTCAGGTCTGGGAAGTCATGACCATCCTGAAGAAACCATCCAACCTGGTTTCTCAAGGGAGCCATCTCAAAAGCTCAGTAGCAGAGTGTTGAACTAGCATGCACAAGGCCCCAGGTTCAGTCCACAGCACCACAAAAAGAATTTATAGTAAATATAATAAAAACTCATTGTCAAACTGATCAGTGGAGCTACTGCACTCATGGCAGGGTAGCAGATGCAGAGGAGTTGCTGTGTGTTGCAAGTCATTGTTCCTAAGTGATCCTGTGTTGTAAGAGGAGCGGTGGACTGCGTCCCGCTGCCCGGCTCCCAGCCACCAGGCTAGCTTAACCCACTAAATAATCACACAGAAATTGTATTAATTAAATTACTGCCTGGCCCATTATCTCTAGCCTCTTATTGGCTAACTCTCACATCTTGATTTAACCCATTTCTAATCATCCGTATCGCCACTTGACTGTGGCTTACCAGTGTCAGTCTCGGGCAGGAGAATCATAGTGTCTGCCTGTCTGTCCTTCTTGCCAGCATCCAGTTCTGTCTTCCCCGCCTACCTGTGTTCCACCCTATCAAGTAGGCCAAGGCAGTTTCTTTAATAACCAATGAAAGCAACACAAATACAGAAGGACCTCCTACACCAATCCTGCATCCCTTAGGTTTTGTTTTTTTTTTTGCACTGAAGAAGGCATTTCTGTTTCTTATTTTCTCTCACTTAAGGATTGGCCCAGCCTCCACAACATGTGCCAAGGAGCAGATCCTGTAGCCCCAAGGATTTTTTTAGCCACTTGATAAATGTATCATTATGCATTCATCACAGAGGGTGAGGTGCATTGTTGTTTCCAACAGCCAGCAAGAAAAAAACCCCTGCTGAGAAGGATGAAGAAAGTCCCTGCAACTAATTGGTGGAGCTGAATTGTTAACATTTTCCCTGGATTCCCAGGCATAGGCATCTTGACCAGCCTGCTGGAGAAATTAACCAGGGTAGAGTGCTGGTGGGGGGAATCTCTCATTAAAATCCCAATCGAGCCTTTTTAGCACTTATTTTCGCCTCATGTCAGTGGCTTTGAGGCTATGATGTTATACTTGTTGGCTGTTATCATCAAACCTGAAATCACTGGCTGTCTCTAGGAGAATTTCATAGGAGGTGTGTGATGGAAAGCTCACCTTCTGGGGTCCCAGGAGAGGTGTGTTTATACTAGGAGGTCTCTGCATGTGCCATATGTGTACAGACTTCACTCTATAGACATACAAGTATTCCAAACATGTGTACAGACTTCACTCTATAGACATACATATATTCCAAACAAGCCCAAACTATTATGACACATTCCAAACTGTGTGTGCTCACTCATTATTCTCACCCCCCCCTTTCTTCCTCCCTCCCTCCCTTCTCCTCTCTGTCTCCCTCTTTTTCACTCTTTCTGTATCTGTCTGTCTCTGGCATCAAGATGAAAAAGAATTGGGTATTTCTCAAAAGTGATCGAGAAATTATCTCTTTAGTTTAAGTAAGAGTTCTAAACCCAATACAAAACTATATACACTAGAAACAGATATCAAGTATAAAGTTAGAATTACAACCAGCATAAACAATATTAAGCAAGGGACATATGCTAAATGTTTTAATAAACATTCTATCCTAAGGAGTCTAAGTCTTGTATTGGAAATGGCTTAACTAGATCATAGGAGGAGGGTAACTATGACTATCTAGTCTTCAACCCCATCAAAAGGCTGAGAGGGGAGATAATATTTCTTGAGTAGGCAGGAAGTGCAATCAAACTTCCAGAATGTACAGTTGATGACAGAGACAACTGGCTGCCTAAGCAATCATCCAAAGTCATCTCATTGGCAATGTTGAAGCAACCAACTTTGGCTAAGGCCTAAAGTAACTGACAGACCATTTTTAGAGGCAGGAAATTATTCAAAACCATCTTACCCTGTCTTGGCAAGATTTGACAGTCTTTTTTCTTGTATTCTGCTTATCCAGTCTGGACATCATGCACTTTGTCAATGGTCGAGGCATGGGCAGTTCCTTGTCCAAAGGCCAGTTGTGCCGAGAAGAAAACAAACTCCAAGTAAAGCTCAACGTTCTCTTGGGAATAGATCAGTGCTGCTAGAAGCAATAGGTTCTCATGCCAACAGAAGCCTAAGTTATTTAAATGTCATGTTCTACGGGTCTTTGACATGGTTGAAGATTACCTATCTATGCAGAATACAATCTCTAAGTATCTAAAGAACCTAATTAGTCTGACTAAAAGTGTAACAAACATGCCTGGGAATCCATCCCATGGAAAACTTCCTGTTACTGCATATGCCTGAGACATTGTATGTACAGTCTCCTCTTGCTGCTGTCCTACATGTCTGCTGTGCTTCCTGGGAGCTCCCAGCAGCCACATCTGTTCAACACGGTCCTGTATCCCAGGCCACATTTCCTGGGACAAGATGAGTACCAGGCCTACCCCAGTGAGATTCTCAAAGGCTAGACCCTAGGATGGCAGAAAAGGAAGCTACAGTTGAAGCTGCTTGTTGGCTGGTAGCCCGACAGGAAGCTGAAGCCATTGTGGTAAACAAAGGGGAGAAACAGGACAAGCTTATGGGGAGACCTGTACAGGTCTGTTAGTGGAGGCATTTGCAGCAATGAGAGGTAAAGGTTATCCAGGTACTCATCAGTGTGGCGATAGAGACATCGGAATAATATAGAACCATGTGCAGCACACAACAGCTATGTTGTTCAGCGCACTGAACAGAACAAAATAAGAGAAAGAAGTTTGTTTCATTTAGATTTATTATGTTTTGAGAGAGAATTTTGCCATGAACCTTCAGCTAGCCTCAAATTTATATCCTCCTGTCTCCACCCTGAGTGTGAGAATAACAGGCATCTGCCACTAGGGCCATCTAGAAATG